TGTGTGTGTGTGTGTGTGTGTGTGTGTGTGTGTGTGTGTGTGTGTGTAAAATAATTACAGAAGAATAAGAAAGGTCATGAACTTGACAGAGGAGAAGAGAAGTTGGGGGGAGAAGGAAAGTGGAAATGAAATGCTCAAGAAAAAATATAATTGATAATATAATAGAAATGTCAAGGCTGGACCTCAGTGTATGAATGGGTTGAAGGATCTGATGAGCCTGGAAAGAAGACAGGAGCAGCTTGGAGGTTTTTGGGATTCTAGAATAACATACTTGTATTTTCATTCATGGACAGCAGGAGGCCACTGAAGGTACTGGAGCATAGGTGTGTTGCCCTTAGCCATACCTAAACCCTAGGGAAGGAGAAATGGAGCTAACAGATATGCTGGGCCAGTTCCTAAACAGTATGGTTGAGATGAAAAAGATCTTACTATACATTGCTGATGCTATTATGTACCAATGTTTGAGTTAGAAATGACTCTGTGCTTCTTAGCAAGACACAGATGAGAAGCATTTCTAACTCCTGTTTCCTACCTCAGTTTGCAACAATTAAGCAGATCATGAGACTAGTTATTTCTTTGAGAGGGATCCATTAAATGAAATAAGCCAGTAAGAAGTACATCATCTCATGCTCCAGTTGATGGACCAGTGGACACTGAGTGAGCTTCCTCACTCACAGTAGTTGATGAGATCACCTTGCTTCTGTTTAACTGATACTGAAAGAGCTATTCCAATGCCATGTCATTTTTCTGGACATCTGTGCACTTACAGTGCAGCCCGTGGTATACCAGCTTCTGGTCCCTCACTCATATTTTTCTAGAGTGAATGTTCACCTGTGGGAACATCTTGCTTTAGGACAGTTGGGTCACAGAGGAGGAGTGAGTAGCTAATTAATCTTCCTTTATCCTTTACCCTGTTCTGGAATCCTAGTTTTAGTGTTGAATTTGTCCCTTCTGGGAAAGTTGTGGAGGGCTAAGGTAAGGAGTTTTCTTTTCACTCTTTCCTCTTACTAGTTCCATGCTAGCCAATATCAAAATGCAGAGTAGAGAATAACTAGTTTCTAAAACATAATTATGAACGTATCTTCTGAAGGCAGATTATCTATAGTCAAATGCCAGGCCTCTTTTATTCTTGTTTCTGGAATTTCCAATTGAATTTTGAGGGCAGATTGCATAGCTTTGACTTCCTATCACATCACACGTGAACACACACACACACACACACACACACATATGATTAAATTGTCTATAATTGTTGCATTTACACCTTATATAAAGGAATGTTTTGTGTGCTATCTGGTATGCATGACCACTCAAGTACTCACACACAAAACACCTTTGCATTTCAAAGAGTAAACATTTACCTCTCCAAAAGGTGGTGGAATTCAATTTGGTTTCTTTCTGTTTCAGAATAGTTCAGGGCATGGCTTTTCTCTTTCCTTTCAGTTTTAACATTTCTGAAACAAATAATTCAAGAAACATCCATGGTACTTGACATTGGATTAGCTACAGCATGTCTTAACGTGTGGACAAATGGTGAGACATTAACTTATCACAATTTGCTCCCAATAATCTGCCTTTTTTAAAAGATAAAATTTCAAATTTTAACACAGTTAAAGATTAAACTTCACATTTCATAATTAAATAAATAATTATACTGTATACTCAATAATACAGCATGTTAAATAAACATGTATTCTTTGAGTGATTTATGTAAGAAAATATATCTACATTAGTTCATTATTTTTCTCACAGTGCTAAACATTCTGAAATGTAAATCTATTTGCTTGGAAAAAAACCTCAGAGTGTTGAGGCTTGCCCTGCTAGCATAGCTGTAGCCATTTTGTTCCAAGCCCACTAGCTATTTCATATTGTTGCTGTAATATGTCTATCAGTCATTGACACTGAAAAATAACTTGTCTCAGAGCAGCGTCATGCTGACCATATATCCTGTTATTTTCTGTATGTTATGGGTTTGTTAATCTTATGAAATTCCACAACCATAAGCATCACCTAGGACTCATCAAATTAAAGGTCAATATGAACACTTATGTCTAAAGTAGCTTGAGTCAGAGCCAACCACCAGGCAGCATTTCCAGCACCTGTCTATGAGCTCATTGTGGGTTTTGCAGTTTTAGCCTTTATAAGCTGGCACTGAGAAATATTTGAGGTTGATAGCTTTCAGAGCTATGGGCCCCAATCGACAAGTCTTGGGGTGTGCATTCAATAAACTACCCCAGTCTGACTGAGACTGGCTTTCATGTGGTTTCTGGGGGTGATTCCTGGACCCTAACAAGAGATGGCATAAATTTTCCCTGTAATGTTTTGTTTATTTCCACTATGAATCTATACCTAAACAAATTTTAAGCAATGATGATCAGAATAAGAATACTTGATTGGAATATAGCTTCATTCCAATTTTCAAGTCAGTGGACTTTTCTGTGCAGTTTTAATAACTGATGCATTTTAGGAAATGAAAAACAGATCAAATACAGTTAATCATTTGCGAGCACTGCTTTGGCACGTACTATAGGCCTTTAATGATGGCATTAAAGGGTCTCTCTAATGCTTTATTCCTTGATGTGACAAAGCAGGCAGCACACATACTGAGCGAAGAAGCAACTACACAGCAGGTGATAATGGTATATAGAGGTAGGTGCTGTCCTCTGGCTTTGTAGATGATGGAACCAATACCAACAGCAAACCCTTAACACCGTCCACAGTGAGTTGTTGTATGGCTGAAGGTCAGCTTGTGGCCAGAGCAAGACAGTGCTAAAATGGATTTCTATCATTATTCTAGCACACACACACACACACACACACACACGACACACATATGTGTGTGTGTGTCTTGAGTGTGAGTGTGTGTATGTATATATACATTCACAATAGCTCAACTTTTTATAAATAAATAAATAAATAAAATTACATGTTAATGAGAGCAAAGTATTCCATGTGTCAGTAAAATCTTTTCTTCTGAAAAATATTAAACTTTAATATTAAAGGAAGCCCAATAATTTGTCCAACTTTGGTATGCCATTCCACAGACTCCAGTGTGTACCTTCTACAGATGGTCATGCTTTCTCTTTGCTTGGTGTTTCAGTCTCTGGGAACCCCAAAGGGTCCAGGTTAGTTGACTCAGTTGGTCTTCCTGTGGAGTCCCTACCCCTTCGGGCCCCTCAATCCTTCTCCCAACTCTTCCATAAGATTGCTCAAGCTCTGCCTAATGTTTGGCTGTGGACTTTGCATCTGTTTCCATAGGCTGCTAGGCTGAGCTCTCAGAGGATAGGTCTCAATTTGGGTCAGTCATAGGTTGACCATTTCCTCAATCTCTGTTCCATCTTTGTCCCTGTACATCTTGTAGCAGGACACATTTTGGACTGATTGTGGCTGGATTGATGTCCTTATTCCTTCACTGAGAGTCCTCTATTTAAACCTTTTGTTAACAAGTATTTCCACACAGCTGGGGGTTTGTTGTAGATGATCCTGCACAAAAGTGTCTCAGTCAGCAAAGGAACATTTTCTGTGTTTGGAAGGGTTTTCTTGCCAAGTGAAAGCCACCGTATTTTAATTATTTGGGTAAAAGTAATCCAGGTGGTGATCAAGTGGCTCTCTAATGTCGGAATGCTTGATGAATCAAGACATGTTGTTCTGTGAGCAGAGCATTCAGACACTCTCCACCAGGAAAGTTGTTCAAATTTGCCAACTTCTCTAAATACTTTTGAATTCCTTTAATGAGCTGAGCACTTTAAACATAAGGTTATAGGATGTTATCTGTATATAACTTATAATTACAATTAAAGATAAAAAATAAGAAAAATGAATAAATGTAGAAAGGATGGATGATGTGTTAACTTCGGGTGTTTAGAAAAAGTCAGACCCTTTTTAAGGGCATTGCCCTCGCATCTTACAGCAAGCTGAATGAGCTAATTATGAGATGTATGCGTCAAAGATTTCAATTTCAGGCTTGACTTTACTTTGAAGATTAATTCTTTACTTTATCATCTTTACAGGCAGTTCAGTGGACAGCCAATCTGGATGTTACTCATTGTTCAGTGATGTATGAAGTATATTTAATCGATGTGAAGAGAGTAATATTAAACTATTATCAGCAGCCTCAGATACCCTAATATCTCAGAGGAAGGGTCAGGGGGTAACATTGCTGGTAATTATATGAGAAACAATGTGTTTAACTCATTCTTTCCATCAAAGCTTTTTGGCAATCCAAGATTCAGATTCCCTTTGTCATAAAATAGAAACATGCAGCAGGTGATTTGTCTCTTGTGGTAGAGAAATATGCGATGTTTGGGATGGTTTTATTTGAATTCAGGGTAACTTTCAACTACAGATCAATGCTTTCCTAGCACTTCAGAGAACTGTGTTTCTTAACCCGAAGATATACGAATAATTATTACAACAATTAAGCAATTTCAAAGCTAAATTTAATAAGCACGTTTTGAGTTCATTCATTTCTATGCACACTAGCAAAACTCAAAAGTGCTCGTTGAAAATACAGAGAACTATTAGTGATCCCCATCCTGCCGTATCCCAGAATTCTCAACTTTGGCCCTGTTGACATTTGGGGCTGTAGCAAGCCTTAGCACCTTGTAAGGTGCTATCCAGAATCTCTAACTGGATGCCACCAGCATTGTCTCAATAGTGGTAATCAGAAATAGCTACAGGCATTGAGGAATGTATGTGGGGTTAAATTAGTCAGAATTGAGAAGTGGTTTTACCCTCTGGTCAGTGTGCAGTAGGTACTCACCTAATTGTCTTTTACCAGCATGTGTAGCAGTCAATCACTGTGTGTGTGTATGTGTGTGTGATGTGTGTGTGTGTGTATTATAATATACTCCACATAAAGCTTATCTTTTGAACAACAACAACAAAAAAGAAAATACAGAGAGCTGTTTAAATTTCAGCCACTCGTTTCTGACTTACTTTTCTGTTTGTGTTTAGATAAAAACAGAAGAGATCAATTTAAGCACCTGATACAGGAACTAAATAAAATTGTGCAAATGTTTTCATCTTCAAATAGGGCCCTTTTCATAAATAAGCATGTATTTCCTCCAGAAAACACTGAGGATGAAGAGACTCATCTATAAAACCTGAAAAGTATTCTGAAGGGTGAGTGTGAACAGGTTGTTGCTCTTACTGTGATTTCCATCCAGATGAGCTGTCCAGGCCGATCACCAGGGATCTGATGTTTTTCTTTTCTCCATTCCTTAAAACTCGGAGTCGTACAGAGACACGCTGCTCTGGTGTCTTACTTACCGGCCTCTTCATGGGAGAGCTGCTCAGGTCCAGTAGGCCTTCTATTGACCAGTCAAATTCCTTCAAGAAGACATAAAAATACATAAGAGCAATAAATAATATGAGTGGTTGTGCCTCTAATCCTTGAGTCATTCTGCAGACATTTATGGAATATCTGAGCCATTCCAAAGAGTTCTAGGTTTTGTTTGTTTGTTTGTTTGTTTGTTTTGTTGTTATTTGTTTGTTTCTCTACAAGGTAAAAGAAGACATGTAGTAATTTTTCTTAATTTAAAATTGATCACTTTTTAAAGTAGCTAACGTTTTATTTCAAATTGATTTTTTTTTTAAGTATCAAAGGATAGAAACACTCTGAAAAGTGGAAAGAAACATTCTAGAAAAGTAGAAGTGAATTAACATTAAGTATCTTTGGTTTTGCTTTTGAGTGAAGTGTTTTTAAAAAGGAAAGGAAAATGTTTGAAAAGGAATTTTACAATAGTCTGAAATAATTTCATCTTAAACTGCATCAAAGTGGCAGGGAAGACTTCACCGAGGGGATATTTAAGAACATAATAAGACAAGGAGATAAGATGAAGACATTTCAGACATTTGGATTGTACAATTTAGTGACTTTATATCTATTCATCTATGCTTTTACTCGTATTATTGATTTATATATTCTTCAAATGTTTACTAATTATTTATTTTAAGCACAAAAATAAAACTATAACTTCAACAGGATATATATACTTTTAAGAACACCAGAAACTTATTTGGAAATCAACTGGAACCTTGCAGTAATGAAAGTAGGAGCCACAGGGGATCTCATAAGAGGAGACCCTTACACAGTGAGGCCACACAACAGTCCTGAAGCCTTAATGTGTGAATCCAGTTGGGGTATTCCATTTGTTTGGGTGCAGGGATACAGCTATACTGATAAGAATCCTGCAAAGGATAGGTAGGTTGTGCACAGCAGATATAAAGATTAGTGGAACATAATGTGTGACAAACAGCTGGGATGACCGTGGGTGGAATACAATTGCTATCCACAGAGACTAAATGAAGCAAGAGTAAATGGAAGAAACAGTGATGAAGATGATATTCAGGGACATCCAAGCTTGCTCCCACACCTCCTTTTCTTTCCTTCCTGTCATTTTTCCTTCTTTCCTTCCAACTGCATTAACAACTGGCCTCGTGGCATATGCCATTCATCTGTAATGTCCATTCTGAAGAAAATGTCATAATTCCACACAGGTCTTGTGAGTTCCATTCTCTTCAGCATGTCAGTTTGTCTACCTTGCACAGTATCGTTGTGTCTGGTGACATTCTCTACAAGGTAAATCTTGATATTCCCATAGTCCAGGCTCCTCCATTTTGTTCTTCTCTGTGTATCGGCTTTTGCTGGCCCTCTGCCATTTCATGCACATTTAAGTCGGCTTCTCAAAGTTTGTTTGGGATATAAACATTCTATATAAGATGAAGGATTTCTCAATATGATGTGTTTTAGGATGCGAGATGAGGTATGGTAGTAGCTCAGAGACCGAGTGTAGCATGGGGAATAACTAAGCTTTGATCTGAAGAATCCCTGTAAAGTGCTAGGTGTGTGTTGTGCCATGGAACTCTCCTTTGAATGAATTTGTGCTGATTTTCGTCATCTATGCATCAATCACATTAATTAATTTTCTTGTTGTAAACTAAGCTTACATTCCTGGTTAAAGGTCAACTGGCATTCACTCAAACTAGTAATGGTGTACAGAAATGCCTATAGATTGTTGAATTCAATTAGTTAATATTTTCCTTAGGATGTTTGCAAATATTTGCAATGAGAATTAACATATAAATGTCTTATATTATCTCCATCAAAGATGGCATCAATGTTTCCCTAGCCTTGTAAAGTTAATTGTAAGACTTTCTTTGTTTTTGAATTCTGAATTATTTGTTTCTTCTGGATTTGATAAAAATGAATCAGGAAAGCTATGTCATGGTGTACTTGTGGGAAGACTTAACTTTTATCTTTTTCCATGGCTGGTGACCATCTTAGTTTGTGGTTCTTTTTAATTAGAATTTACTTTTTTGTTGGGAGGGCACTGTGGGCGTGAGTATTGTGTGTGCAACAGTGTGCTAGAAATCAGAGAACAATTTACCAGGGTCAGTTCAGTTCTCTTCTTGTACCGTATGTGTCCTGGGGATGGAACTCAGGTTATCTGGTTTGGTGGCAAATAGTTTTACCCAGTGAGCCACAACACCAGCACTTCTGGTATCTTCTTGACTCCTTTTTAACATACTGCTTTTTGTCCAAAAATTTGAGTGTTTAACCAAGTTATTTATAATATCCCTTTATTTATAATATATATATACATATACATATATATGTATATATATATATTATGTACAACATATGTAACATATTGTACATATATATTAAAGGGAAATTTGTAATATCCCTTTATTATATTTACATAATATATAATGATTATGTAACCAGAGATATATATCTTATTTTATTCTTAATATTGTTTCATTTTATCCAAATTTTCTTAGTAAATATAATTGTGTATATATATTTTTTGATATTTTCAAAGAACATATTTTTTTGTTTTGATATTTCTGTGTACATGTGCCATCTAGTCTAGTCTGTCAATTTTTGTTTTATAATTTAGTATTTTATTTCCTTCTTCCTAATTTTTCCATTTTTTATGGGATTGTGCTCAAATACAGAACTATATGCATGCTAGGAATACACTCTACCCCTCAGCAGCCTGTCCTGCCTGTCCTTCTACCTAATGCCTAACAGTTCAGTCTTTACTCTCCTAACACCATAAAGTGAGTGCTGCTCTCATTAGAGTTTAGTTCCTCTTGCTTTTTAATCATAGGCTAATGAAGAGGCTCTGTAAAATAAAAATTAAAAAAAATAGACAATTCCTGAGGATAAACACCCAAGATTCTTTTCTGATTTTTACACACACACACACACACACACACACCACATACACATGGACATACAGATTAATTTTACATTCACATTTGGGTGTAAAATTACTGACATTTCTCCCTTTCTTTTTTAACCATGGAAGGGAAAAAGAAGAGAAATGATTCCTTTCATACTTAGCCTGTGTGATTGTCAATTTACAGAACAAGGGAGTGGAACTAAGAGTTTTTCAATACCTCATTGTGGTTGATTGAATGAGAGTGGCTCCCAGAGATTTTGAATACTTGTTTCCTACTTGGGGAACTGTTTAGGTTGAACCAGCAGGTGTTATTTTGTTGAAGAAGATATGTCTGAGGGTGACTTTGAGGTTTCAAAAGTCCATGTCTTTCCTTGCTTTATGGTTATGAATCAAGATATAAACTGTCAGCTGTTCCTTTGGTCTGCCATTATGAACTCTAACCCTCTGAAACTGTAAACCAAATTAAATACTTTCTTTTATAAGTTGCTTCAGTTATAGTGTTTTATCATAGCAAAACAAAAGCAATTAGGAGACTGTATAAACTATATCTCTGGGGAACAAATCTGAGTTGTGATAGTTAAGTTCTTTACAGGTTTTGATTTATTTAGTGTCCAATTTGCTTCTGACTTGGTGGCTACTGTGGAGATTTGTTATACTCCATGGATATACTGCTACCTTCAAATGGATTCCCGTCTTTCTAGGTAGGAGGAAGAAACCCAAAAGAGCTCTATGCTTCAGTTTAAGACATCACAGAAACACTCAGAAATGAAAAATTCTCTTTCCAAATATTTTCGCTAGTGACATCAACTTTTCCTTTTATGATACTTTGATTATCAGGAAGGTGAGATGGCTTAGCAGGTAAAAGTGCTTGTCACCGAGCCTGATGACCTGTATTCAATCCCTAGGACCTATTTGGTGAAAAGAGGGAGAGAACTGACTCCCACAAGTTGTCCTCTGACTTTCATAGGAATAATGTGGTCTTACACACACACTCACACACACACACACACCACAAATACATGTAAAAATATATACTATCTTAATTCTTGTCCTCATAGGTTTTGTTATTTGTTTGTTTTGTTTTGGCTTTTGGTTTTGGTTTTGGGGTTTTGTTTTTTGTTTTTTGTTTGATTGTTTTCCTGAGACAAGCTATCACTATGTAGTCCTGGCTTATCTGGTAGCCTAGATTGGTCTTAAACTTGTAATCTTCCTGCCTCAGTTTCCCACGTGCTGGTATCACAGAGTTTTGCCATCATGTCTGGTTTCCCATTCAAGACATTTACTTTGTCTTTCATTCAAACAGTGAAATACAGCCTCACGATAATGAAGGACAACAAAACCATGGGTAATTAAGCTGGCTGAGGCTGTTTCTCCCCTCCATTTTCTCGGTTGGGATTCTGATCTTCCCACTTATTTCTCTATTGGCCTTCTCTTTGTTCATGCCACTCCACAGCACAGCTGCATTGTCAGGAGACCTGTGGAGGGCCCTGGGGCTCCCTTTAGTGGATAGTTCCCCTTTCTTTTTTCACTCATATCTCATAGAGAGATGTGTTAGTTCAGAAGTCAGCTCTTAACCAACGATTTCAGCTGTTCGATTATGTTGGTCCTACTTCATTTACTTGTTAGTGGTAAATAACTAAACAATTAATTTCCTTGCTTGCTCATGTTCAAAGTTGTTTTCTACCCCTTTCCTTTCTTTAAACAGTTTCTGAGTTTGAATGAAATATCAAAAGGCTAAATATGTGATTGCCAAAAGGTTCCTGGTTCATATGTAGATGCAGTGTCCTCTTAGACGTCTTCAGATTCCTTTTGTAGATGTCAGTGAAAAAAATTATAATTTTAATTTCCTTCTGTCATTGGTCTATCTGAATAGATATGTTTTAATTTAGCAAAGATGATTATCTTGTAATATATTCCAAAAATCTTAAACCCCTTTAAACTCACTAATTTTAATGGTTTCATCCTAGAATATAAAAAGTCCATTACTCCTTGCCTTTGAAGATTTAGAACTGTAATTTCTCAATTTATATGTTTCCTCCAAGGTTTGAGAATATAGTGTGAGAGTTCATTCCTATAAAGTATTCCAATGAAACTGGGCTTTAATATGTCTTAAGATACTGGGTTCCTTGTATACATGGAAATCTGTAGTTTATTAACTACATTTTATTAAATGATATTGGTTTCCTTTTAGAATGAATAGTATCTAGAAAGTGGCATGGAATGGGTCTTCCAATCAACTGCAATGCTTTTTGGCATGAGTGCAGGCTGAGATATTGTAAAGATAACTTCGTATTTTCATAGCGTTTGCATTTCTTACCTCTTCTGTCTATCATCACTGTATTTTGAATGCCTTTTGTCATGAAATTGAAAGAACTGTAGTTCAGTAGTTGGTGATGTTTCACCTAGATTCAACATTCCCACTCAATTTTCAGGCCCATCAGGCTCCAGAGCCTGACTCCTTTTCCTCAGCATTCAACCTTTCCTGCTTCGACACATAGCTTGTCATGTGGGTTTCTTCTCTCTCCTCACTTCACCTTTGTTCCTCTCCTTGGCCTCCCTTTTCTACTTTACTCTCTATTCTCTTACAGCCTATGTTTAAACTGTAAGATTTAGGAGTCGGGGACTACATCTATCCTCCTGCTCTCCCCCTGTCATCTAAATACATTACAGACAATATATACAACATAAAATTGGAGGTCAAATCTGGGAATAAAAGTAGTGAACACAGTCCCCAAACAGTTCTGAATTCCACAATATGATTGTCAAATCTCCAAATCAGTTATGTGAAGATTAGATCGGGAATATGGGTCTTTCAAATGAAATGGATGCAGACTTGAAGTGAAATGGGTTGTACTTAATTTGAGTTCCCTGCTTGCTAAGTACTTTCTTCCCCCAAACATTTCAAGAAGCAGCAGGACCCCGAGACCCAGTCATTTTGGAAGATACAGTCCATCCATCTGACTCCAGCTAATTTAATGCCTCAGTTCTTTCCCTTAATTTTACAAGTAATGGCCAAAGAATTTGGGGGCATAGTCTCACATAAACAAGGGCAAAGTAAAAGCATTTTTGATAAGTGAAATTTATCTATTAAGTACTAACTACATGAAAAATATGTGGTCCAGAAGGAAGGCAACCTTAAGTGGAAAGGTCTGAGATATAAGATGAGAACTTTGAGATAAGTAGAAATACATATTGACTGTATGCAAAATATTAACATATTGAAACCTATCAAACTTAAACTTATGGCAATAATTAATTCCTCATACCATAAATCATAAGGTCAAAGTTAACTATTCTATGTTTGTATTACATAAGAGAAGACAAAACATACTTATTAACTTTTCATTAGATAGTTTATTTATGCAAGTTAGAATGTTCAGGATAATTACACTAACACTAGTCCTCAAAAGAATGGAAATAGAACAAACAATGTATAAACTATTAAATGAAGAAAATGCAAGGACAAAAAAGCCACTATAAAAGAATAAAAAACTGGATGAGGCACAGATGAGGCATGATAAACAGAAAGAAGATATAATTCAGGTACATTTGTAGGTAGGGTAGTCAAGGTAAATGCTTCAGTTTGAAGAGGATTCCATCCAACAAACTGAATTCATTATTGTTTCCCTTTCAAAAATATACAAAACTAACAAGTAAAATGATGGAAAGAAGACATACTAGGTATATAATAAGCAACATTTCGAGATGCTTTTGTTGCCATTGAATGACTGAGATTATTAGAAGTAGGCAGAGTTTCTATATAATGACAAGTCTGACTTTACTTGGAGAAATATACTATTCTGATCATATGTGTGCTTAAGACCTGTATTTCAAAATAAATGAAGTAAAATTTGAAGGATAACAAGAAAAAAAATACCAGATCAGTTTGTTTTCACAGTGAAACATTTCTATACTTCTTTTCAGTAAATAACAGAATTAACAAGACATTTTAGAATATTGAAATTCAAAAGGTACATGGACATTTTCTGAAGGTTGACCAGATACTGGAACTTAAAGATTTATACTAACGTCATACAACCTCATTAAGCATGCTGCTTGGAAGGACTGGCCACATGTATGTAACCTTGTTCCACAGAGGATAGTCAACTTCGGGGTGTTTCTGCTGGCTGGGCTTACTGTCCCTTTATGCTTTACAGCTCACCTAAAATGAAACAGAAAACAAAAGCAGAATACTCACAATGAATTAAGATTCCCAGTCTGGCCATTTGCCATTTACAAGAATTCAAATGAAAGTAATTTAGAAGTGAACGACTTAATTGTAAAAGGAAGGAAACTGATTAAATTGAGCCGAAGTTGGCAATTTCATAACAGAAAAAAACACCAAGGCGAAAGACAAAATGCTAGAGTCATTTACAGAGACTGACATAAATAACTATACGAATATGTGAAAACAGAAAAGTTAGTAAAACTCACAGATACGCAAAGAAAAACTAAGATGCACACACTTAGAGTGGGAGAATTTATAACATCACCAGCAGGTTTCAAACTATTGGGTGGATTTTAATTATGTATATATGTGTGTATGTTTATAACACTGGGCCTAAATCCATGTCTCACATGTTAGGCAAATAATCTGCTTACAGAGAATGTCTTTCTCAACAATTTCTAAAATGTAAGTAATATTTGTCACATATGAAAAAAAGTAAACATCAATATAGCCACATATGGTTGGTACAAGCCTGATGATATTATAGGTTCTGATAATCCTCAGAACCTATGTATCAGAACCTATGTAAATGCTGGACATGGTAGCCCATGTGTGAAAGCCAAGCACTATCCCAGGGAGATGAGAGACAGATATAGGATACTCCCCAGAAGCTCACAATCCAGCCAGCTTCGGTGTGCAGATTTGTGTTTAGAATACACAGTGTAGTAGCAAACAAGAGAGACCACACTTCAAGTGTAAGGGGAGAACCAACACCCAGGCATGTCCTTGACTTATGCACACACACATTGAGTTCAAATATTTACAATCTCAACAATATGATATATTCTAAAAGCACAGAACACAGAATCTTTCTCAAAATGCTATTTTACCAGTTGGAGGAGAAAAGAATGACCAATAGTATTTGGTATGAAGTTAAAATTACGTGTGTGAAAACTTATAGGACATACCCAGAATTACAGTCAGAGAACACGTATGCTGTAAATGGCTGTGTGTAAATTAAATAGAAAGGCCGGAGAGCTACCTCAGCAGTGATGAGCATGGCTGCTCTTCCTGAGGATCTGAGTTTGAGACTCAGCACCCACACCATCGTAACACAACCATCTGTAACTCCAGTTCCAGGGACTCTAATGGCCTCCTCTGGCCTCCAAGGGCACCATACACTGGTGGTGCACAGATATACATGCAAGCAGAACACCCATACACATAAAATAAATCTCATCGAAGAAAGACCTAGGGAAGCCAAACTAACAAAGCACTCTATTAAATAATTTTTTAAAAATTTGAATTGTCCCATAAAAAATCAATGGGAGAAACTAGTATTCAATTAAAATTAAAAATTTTAGAAAATAAAACTTCAGTAGAATGGTTGAAGAAATGTTTTTTAAATAAAAAAGTATAACTAAAATTAGTAAAATATCTGATTATGATGTAATCATCAATGGTTTCTTAAATCCTCAAATTAGTTTTTAGTGTAAGTTTCTTTTTAAATACTAAATATGAGAAATAATTATTTTTTAAGGAGAACAGGAAAGTACATCTCTTGTAAATAAGTACAGATTAATAAAATTACAACAAAATTAAAAAAGAAAATCAAGCTAAACATTTACTATAGAAAAGATTTAAAATGATGTGTATGTGAATATTACTGGTAAAAACTTCTGATAATATAATTTTTAAAAATATTCCGACTGGAAATATAGATATAGAAACTAGATAGCATGTGCTCACCCACATCAGTTAATAGGTCATGGACAAGAGCATTTCTGTGCTATATAAACATTTCAAACTAGGAGATAGAGTAAACCAGTTAATTATTTCTATGACAAGTTGAAAACCTTTATAATAAACTCAGTCACTGGTTATTTAAGAAAAAATACATCAACGTTACTTATAATTAAAGATATAGCACTCCTAAATCAATATAAATCAACAAAATATAATACTGTGGCAGGAGACTAATCACTATGGATGAGCCAAATTGATCCTAGGAATAAAATTATGGAATGTTTTTAATTTAATCCATCACTAAGAATAAGTGTTACAGGAATGGTACAGTATCAATATTTTTCAAGCACAGATGATGATCGTTAGAGACCAGGAAATTTCTAAGGCCACTTAACCCCATCAAGACCGTATGTAATATCTATCTTACGTTGGAGAGCCTGGGCTTTTCAGCAATCATAATGAAAATTTACAGAGCACAGAAACCAAGAGATGACAATGCTTCCAACCAATCAAGAGATATGAAGCTAAGAGCCCTCAGGATTCAGAGTAGTATTGGAATAGAGCTTCCAGCCAACTGACAATTCCCTTCTTTCTTTGGTGGAACTCTGTATGTTTCGTCTGAACATTCTGAATTATCTTCCTCATACGGATCCTAGAGTGTTAGCTGTATAAAGACAGTAGACAGCCAATCACTTGGAAAGGAATATGAAGAGACGCAGAGAATCCATTCTTTGGACAAAACATCCAAACCATTCAAGAGTTACAGAATAACTCCAGAAGGTAGTAAGCTCCTGCTACTGAAAGTTGGAGTGGTGAGAATGTGTGAGTACTTATTTCACATCTCCATGAACCTGCTTCTTTGGACACATTTTTGTGTGGCATTTTTATCCTCCATGAGTCAAATCTCTCTGAGTCCAGTAGTAGGACATTTCTAGTTCTCACGTCTCCTAGCTTTTTCTACGTTATTCTTCCACACACACCTTTCCCCAAATATTTCCAGATATTTAGCTGATTAACTGTTCCAAATCTGTCATATTTTCACACTCTCAGCCTTCTTGACAGACCAACAGTTCATTTTACACCCAGGTTAAGATTCACAGTCCATCAATCCAGTCACTCTCTTGCCTTCATCCTCAACCTATTGTTTTCATGGTATTTGAGCTACCAATGAAACATGAAGCATACTTTGGTGTTTGTAGTTCCCATACTCTGTAGAGTCTATGCATAAATGCAAGCATACACATGTTTAAGAACTCTGCCTTGACAGGCCATAGTTGCAATACATATTATTTTTACTTTAAAGTTATTTTTATTTAATTAGCTTTATTATTGCTAATAGCACTGCTGTCTTAAGTGTGGGTTTTATTCCAGAACAGTAAAGAAATTATTGGAAAACATATGCTATCTATCTAAACTTGTAGAGACTCAGACTGGTTCTCAAAGGCTGGCTTGCAAATAGCTTAATATGTCATGTTAGTATTTCTGTTTGCACTACTGCTCTGTACTCCCACTTCCTAAATTCACAAACAATAGTGACAAACTCCACTCATCTCAAGTAGATATTCACTTAGTAGAAAACATAGGTAAAGGACGTGTGGCAATGTGTTGATACATGGGCAGTGACTAGAAGTTTGGATGGCTGTTGAGGATATTAGAGAAAACAAAACTAGAAAGCACGGTTAAGGGGCATGGGATGTTGAGGAAAGCATCTATTGATGGACTTAGAGAATCTAAAGCATTCAATTTTTATTTTTTATGGTAATGTGCACCACAGAACATCCGCCACAGAAGAGGCTCTTGACAACCAAGCCAGCCAGAAGACCATTGTGTTCTTACTAGAATGTTCATTGACTTAATGTCACACCTAACAATGCCTCAGAATAAACTGGTTCACAGATGAAAAACTGTAGCAGTGAACCATAAGATTCTCTTTTCTAACATTATACACCACCACAGGAAGTACCTGACTTTCCAGAATGCAGAAGTGATATTGAAATCTAAACAAAAGGATAGCAGGTTATAGAAACACTTAAATGTTTGGGCTGGTATTCTAAAGGGTCAATATATGTAGTGACTGAGTAAGGTCTAGCATTTTATCTTTGAAAACTTTAATCAGGTGTCCTGAAACCAACAGTAGAAGAAGGCTGGCCCTTACTTCCAGTGACCCAGTTCAAAATGTAACCTCTTGCTCACAAAGCCTCAAGTTTCGCAGTGTTGTAAGACTGATTTCTCTGTGGGACTACTTCTGCCCAGGGATACAGAAGTCTGAACTAATGTATAAAAGTTTTAGTTAGTAGTGTGGGCTACTCTAAGCACCTCATGGAATTAGATTGGACTACCAGACCAATGGGACAGTCATGACTGGAGAAGAACTATCTATTGCCATGAGAACTAAAAATTGTTCCCACACTGCAAAGGTAAAGGAATGAAACTAGGAGCTGTAGGACCTTCTGTGCCCAGAAAAAAAAAATCGTGAATGGAAAACTATAGCAGTGAGAATCCAGTGAGGCAAGAAAATGGAGGGCTGGTACTTACCAAGGACAAAGACATGAGGAATGTAGTCCACACTTGTCAACACACTGGCTCAAATATATTTTAAATGAATGGAAAAAGGACATCAATGTCAATCCAATAGAGTCTGAGGGAACAGTGAGGGTTGAGGTAGGTTGGATTTGTTAATTGCTACATCTTTGCATGGCTCCAGAATTGGCCTGACTGAAGCAAGAAGCTGCATTCTCCTCCCCCAGCCCACCATCCCAGAATCTCATCATTTTTATTATATACATTTGGACAATTATTTCAAATAGCTCAATCATGAAGGCAGGGGTCATGGCACAGTGCTGGATCAATGAGGTCTAACATATCTCAATGGAAGCAGACTCTGTAGGGGAGCAGGTTTGTCTTCAGGTCATAACTATACAGAGAGGAGTGTAGAAAACTATGATGGACAGTTTCTGCATGTTCTGTCAACACCCACACATAGACCAGAGAAAGGCTTTGCTATCCTGCTGAGCCTCACCCTGGGGGCAGGGAAGGCTCTACCTTTTTGCATTGAGTCAGAACTTCAATTACTCAGGTTTTCTGCTGTTACCCACAGTTGATCTTTCAGAGTCTTTTTTATGGTAATCCAAAGGACAAAGGACAGTATCACTAAAATTCTA